GAGGGAGGGTCTCGGTCCAAGCGACGAAAGAAGGATTGAGATGGTTATGCAGGAGTGGGCAAGGCAGCACAATTTGTCGCTAAGGCTCGGCATTGCCGTGTCACTACCCGACGGCACTCTAGGCAACTTCCGGTTTGAAGGCGCCGCCGCGGATCCAAACAATGCTAACCTGAGGACCATCTGGATCGTCTCTCAGCCGGGAGACCTAAACTTATGGGTTGGGCTCATGCATTAGGAGGGGGGAACAGCAAGCTGAAGGATTACGGGTAGGCTGAGTAGAGACCCCATAGCTAAGAGAGTCTTTTTTTCCTTACGTATACGAAGTCGTACATTTATAGACATCTTAAACCGTCTTTAGTAGCCGTGGATAGGGGGAAGACGATGTGATATAACAAGGTATGATTCCTTGATTCTGATATCTACCTATCTATAACGAGGGCCCATGGAGCTCCTCAACAAATACTCTAAATCCACTTCTGATCTCGTGAAGATGGCCTGTTTGCCAACTCATGCTGTGCCATGCTACCTATACGAATGCAAATTCCACCACCACCACCACCACCAACACATCATCTGTCCCCGTAAGAGCTAGAGCCTAGATCTAATGGCAGTTGCCGATGTTGCCCGAGACCATCATGCAAGTAGAGCAGTCGTAGCCGTAGACGGACAAGCCCTTGCAGAAGTCGTCGTCGGGGCAGTTCTCGCTGACGCAGCTCTTCTCCTGTCGCTCGTCGAGCGGGCTTCGGGAGCGCGGCTTGGACGCCTCGGCCGTGGACCTGGCCTTGGCCTGCTTGACCTCCTCGAGGATGGAGGCGCTGGCGCTTCGCGCAGTGGGAGGCGCATTGGCGTCGAGGTGCGCGGCGTCGACCACGTTGAGATCTCGGTCGAAGGTTCGGACCACGTTGTCAGATCCGACGTGCGTGAAGCCGCCAGACTCTGCTCGCCTCAGGCTGGGAGCGACGTCGCCGACGGATCGGGCCTGTTGGACGTGTTAGTTAACATGTTCTTGAACGGGGGGCCTGTGTAACATACCTGCTGAGCGACCGAGAGGCCGGCGGCTGCCAGGAAAGTGATCACAGCGGAAGTCTTCATGGTGACGGGTTACTTAGATCGTTGGAATTGAAGTAGTCTTGAGTCTTGGAGTTGGTTGGATGATGGACTGGGTGTGCTGTGTGGAATTGATTGTGTTGGTTGAAGCAGTGAAAATTCAAGCGATATTGGGCGTTCTTTTATGTTAGCTATATCATAATTGATCGGCATTTCCTGTGGTCATTTGTTCCATTCAAAGTTCACCGGTAACATTTCACCGCTACCCCCTGATCGCCCGACCTTAATCTTTAATAACCGGTCGCACTCGTAAGGGATGAGGACGGCAGTCGCGGGGCTGTACACGTTCGGGTAACTGAGGTCTTTAGTCGGCGATTAAGTGGCGGTAAATCTATGGCCGGGTAAGCTTAAGCTCAATTGATTGGAGATTCTCGTCATCCGTTGCGGCAGAGAAGGAGGACGGACCAGCATGAGATCTTGAGGCAGCTGGGATGATCTGCGGCACAGTTAATTATAATGTACGGCGTACTGGAACACCTTGGCTGTGGTCACGGACCAACCCCAGCCGGAGAAGCCAACGCGCCGTCGTGAGAACTTCGTATGGACAGCAAATGAAACTTGCTTATTGCATGGATATGATCACCAATGAGATTACTTATGAGGTTCTGATAATACTGGCTCCTAAATAAAAATTTTATCATAAGGGAATATGGTCGCATTTGATTCATAATCGCGTTTGTAGGAAGACTATTGTAGAAGTATTTCTAGTAAGATGAATAGGTTGGATAGGGCGATTGAGGAATTGGTAGCTTTGAGGGGTGTCACGTGACCATGTCATTCAGTATATAGGGGGCGCAGAAGACGAGAACCAAAACAACGGCCTTCTTTCACAAATGTGAAGTTTTAGTTCAGGTAGCTGATCTTTATGAGTACTATATGGTCTCTTCTGCCACTTTAAAACTTAATTGTAAGTAGTCTAGGTTAATTTAATTTAATCATTCATTATCATACTGCGCGAGGGACAACAGAAGTAGATAATTGTTTTATACATATTTAACTGAATATTTTATTACCTAGGTACCTAATTATATGATAGAAGTATAGTGCGATAGTATGGGCCCAACTTGCGACATATGATGGTCAAAATCATTGGATTTCACTTTTTTATATCAACTCACCACCAAGGCATTTCTCATTGCTTGAATTTATAACTATAACTATCTCTGGCCAACTGCTTACAAACGCATGAGAACTATACCTAACATACTAATATGCGCTGAGTAGAACCACCCCCTAAGTGTGCCTTTCTTCGCAAATAGTATACGCAAAGGGCTTCACCAGGATTCATCGCTCTTGATATGAAGCTGAAAGGTCCCTTAACATGGATGAACTCAATGACCAATAAACAATCATGCTAGGGAGCTAACTTGCGAGCTATAACTCACGGCCGCTATATAACTTATAGCGGTCTTCTCTTTGCGCAAGATTATTTGTAGATAAATGGTAATATGACCGCGGTCATCGTCCTAGACTCTGTTGATCTGACGCTTATAAAACGAATGCCTCTTAACCGATCCTAACAAGTACGCACATATTAACAAGCTATTGCGCTGATATACTCATAAGAACGCCCATCTTGCGTAGGATGAAGACAACGCACAACGTAGGGAGATATAGCGTACAACACCATCATCGTTGGATTAGAATCTTTTCCCTGGAAGGCAACTGCCATGAGTACCCTGTCTTTCCCATACCCTGAGTGGAACATACTGTAGTGCCCTAAGGCTAGTGAGCGTACCAATGAGATAGATGCGTCTTATAGATCTATACGCGGTTAAGGGGTCTTTCACCACTTTACCCAGGTCATACCAGGAAACCCAGACCCAGGCAACAAAAGTCGTATAATGCGGACCCAAGGAAAAACTTTATGAGAAGAGACTCACTGTCCCACAAAGCCTCTTTTTTTCTCTTCCCTTCTTTTTATCCAGGGACTTTCCAGCTGCCAACCCTACTTTCTCCCACACCCATCTTCATCACCAACCATCCCAGCCAAGCACCAAGCAGGGAGAAACCATCAAGAGTAAGTCATTTCTATGCTAAATCAATTAGATTATCAATTTCTTTCATCAAAAACTAACCGGATATACTCATTCCAGGCTCGTCGTCATGAAGACCCCTCCTGAGCAATCCGCCACCGGCGAAGCCTCCTCCCGCGACGGAGACCCCAATGTCGCGATGACTGATCGCCCTTCTGGCTCAACCAGCGAGACCCGCACTCTCGGCTATGGCCTCAACGCAATCTCGGCTTTCGACAGCGACTCAGATTCTGAGAGTTCCACCGACAAGACCGCTAGCTCTCCCAAGACCGGCAGCAACCCTCTAGTCGAGAGCCCCATCGCCCAGGCTGGAAATCGCCGTATCTCGTACTCCGAGTTCAAGCGCTCGGTCTACGCTCCTGGCCCGCACCCGCACCAAGGCGGCGCTAGTCTCAAGGCTGACGACACCACTGCTCCTGCCGAGCACATCACTTCGGTCGCCGGTCCCCAAGACGCCACTTCCGACGTCGCTGAAGCCCGTCCCGCCGCTGCCTCCGGTACTTCGAAGTTCGCAGCCTCGGTCCTGGTCGGAGAGCGTGCTGCCCCCCAGACCCCCAAACACTCGCAGGACCCCCCTGCCGAGATGCCTGCGCGTCGCCGCCGCAGTCGAGCTTTCGACAGAAGCATCCAGAGCAGCAAGAAGACTCCGACGTTCGGTTTCCGCGCCTCCGCCTCTACTTCCCGTCGCTCTAGCGGCGCCCTCTTTGGGTCCAGCCTTCGTTCCGCTACCGAGCACGACCCCGATGAGCCGCTTGGTCACACCCCCCCTTCTCTCAAGAAGACCAAGAAGCTTGACCACGACGACGACGATCAGAAGATGGAGGATCAGGATGAGCAGTAAGCTTGTGGGCCCTCTGACCTGGGTTGGAAGCTGAGAAAAAAAGTGGTGGTTAGTTATTACGTTGCGAATGGTTTTTTTTATTTTATTTTACACACTCAAAAGTACTCATGTTCATGCTCTCTGAGATGCGGAGAGGCGGTTTTAACATCACAAAGGAAGGAAGGCAAAAGGAAAAAAGGGACCTATGAATCGATTTGATGGTTTGCTGTTTTAAGAGAACGCAATCCTCAGGATACGGTATCTAGCTCTGCGTCGTGCGTTTGCGGGTGACGCGTTACGCAATGCTAAAGATGCTGGTCTAGATGAAGCAATGGTCACGATATCGAAAAAAAAAAAAACACACACAGTTCATAGGTGAGGGTTTAGACCTCCGTTAGTTAAGCAAATGCAAGCAAGCTCTTCTCGTTACCATCGTGTTTTAGCTTTCTAGTAGGAAAATTGTCTTATCTGTCCTCGTAAACGACTTTCTTATCCAACTACATGATATGAAACTAGGAATGCGCCAACAGCTGACATTCGTTTTGGGCAGTAACCTAGTGTGTTCTCTATATATCTTAGAATAAATATTTCTTGAGGATCTTTAAAAATTAACCCTAGTCACTTCCATACCACCCAATTTACCAGCGCGACGGCCTGGATATGTTATTTCCGTTAGAATCGATGGTCGCCCGGCAGCTTGTCCCTGAAAAAATGACTACATTTAAATCATTGTAAACCATGCAAGTGCAAAGATGCCAAACATAAATAATCTATCGAATGAAGCTGTTGCCGTGAAAATTGAAGGTAACAATCGTAATCGCGATGCCCCGCCGATTTGCTCCGGCGCCTTCCCCCCTATTTCTCCATCTCCACCAATAAGATCCCCGTGTAACACCGATAAGCATATCGTGTACTAGCTTATGTAATCGAAAAGAGACCTAAGGGAAGTGCAGTTAATATCATAAAATAAGCAAATATAAATAACCTCGAAGTTTCATGTTTTTGGTTAGAAATCAATCATAAAGATGTTGACGAAGTGATTTTTACAAGCAAAAACTAACTATGTACACCTCGAAAGGAGAAATCGACCGAGACCTGTGCTTGCCTGCTTAGCTCAGCTCGCCGCAGCGCAACTTCTGGCCCTAAGCGCAAACCCATTACTGTCCGTCCTCATCCTCAAGACAAAAGACCGCAGAACCTACCACCACCATCCCCTTCTCACACGCCTGTCCCTGTATCCTTCCTGCCGAAAAAAAGAAAAAAAAAGGAAACCGCACTCTTTTTAACTCCGGAATGATAGACTGAGACTCCCCATCTCCTGTGGCTGACCATGTAAGATAGATGCTCAACCAATCAAGAAGCGCAGATGTGATTCCAGGCGCCAACGCGGGTCTGGTTGTTAGACACGAAGCTCTCGGGCTCGAGCCTATTTGGGATATTACGTCAGCACACATGAACCAACACACTTCGACTTACACCAACGCGAACACCGACGAGTTGAGTTCAGCTGAATCCTGATGGTTCAGGGGGGGTACCACCAACACACATACTGCCATTTCGAAGCACCTGTGTAGATGGATGGGATACGAAACCGGGGAGGGAAAAGAACCAAAGAATGGAAGAACTCACAGGTCGCTGTAGCAAGTGCAAGCCGCGCCAACCTTGTCATCAATATAATTGACGAAGAAGCTTCCGGCGCCGGGCTGGTTGTTGCAGTAGAACTGGCACTTGTACTGGGAGTAGGCGAAGCCGGATTCGATGGGGTCGGGGGCGCCGAAGGTCTGTTATGCCATCCATCCCATGTAAGCAGAAGAGTTCACAATCAACCAACCAACCAACCAACGACCTAGCTGACCATGATCCTGTACCGGCGGCAGACAGGAAGGAGTGAGGTGGAAAGAGGGAGGGAACAACTCACGTAGGTACCCACGACATGGCTCTCCGACCAAGCAGCCTCGGGCTGGTATCCGCCATCGAAAGCGATGGTCGGGAGGGCAGGAGCGTAGCTGATGGTGTAGCCCGCCGTCGTGACGTAGCTACCAGTCGTGCACGGCGAGGCAGCCGCGGTTGCGGTCGGCGCGTCGGTGACCGGAGCCGCGAGGGCGAGGGCCGCTGAGGCCAGAAGGGTGAGGACGTTGCGGATTGCCATCTTGATATTTATGAAGAGGTAAGGTAGAGTTTCTTGATAGGTAAGATGATAGATACGTGTATCCGCGTAGGTAGGTAGTAGAAAAGGAAAAGCAGATCAACTACTCTTGGCTAAATAGATAGGCAGATACTGCAACGTAGAAAAGATCGTTGTAGTAGCAAGTGGTAAGTGATAAGTCGCAACTAAGCTTGGCCTTCCGTTCCACGCCTTTAAATAGGAGCCGAAGAACGTGTTTGATAGGGTCTTTGCGTCCCTTTCTTCTGTGTCGTAAGTGCCTGTTGCAGTTGTGGCTTCCATCATTTCCGGGGAACGGGTAAAGTTAAGTGACAAGCTCTTATAACAAGGAAAACTAACTGTCGGTAATAGATGATCTTCAACCCTCAGTGAGGTAGGTTGTAATACAGTAGTATGCTTTTTCTAAAAATGGGGCTGATAGTATGACAAGGCCCATGCCGGTCTGATGTCAAGAGTAATCTAGAAGTTCCTGACTTTCGACAGGGGTAGAGGAGAAAGGAAAGAAGGGGATGGGATCGGCACTGCAGGTTTACCTGGGTTAGAGGCGAGTAGAGACGAAAGAAATCACCGGGGCGAACTACATGTACATAACCGTGCCAGGGGCCGGGGGACTCACTCGCTCTTCCAACTAAAACAACAGTAATAAATGTAAGGCACGCCAACGGCAGCGACGGGTACAAACCACCAAGGAAAAAGGTACAGGTTTCTCCCCTGCTTCACTCACATAAAGTTCTTGTGCTACCTTCTCCATTCGTCCAATTGGCCTATGGAAGGCTGCATGGCATTTTCCCCATCCCTCTTGTTCTTTGTCGATCGCCAAGGGAGTCACACCATCGCGGCGAGGTCTTCTCCCTCGAACCAGCTAGAGCGACGGATAGATAACCATTATTTTAGCATCTTCCGAAAAACAAAGGCGAGAAGAAATAACAGATACTACTACTGCGCTAGGCTCTTCCGAGTTTGAATGCGAATGCGATATGTATGTCTCACGTCAACCATACATCAATCGCCGCCCCTCACAAATAGGCAAAAAGAAGGAGTGCAACATGGGATCAATATAGGATAATAATAAAAATGTTGAGGCCAGTTCGCGCGTCTGATTGGAACGTGGGGGAAAAAAAAGCTATTCCCTGTCAATCTGGAGATCTTTTTGGGGCCGGGTCGAGCGAGTTGCAAAGGGAAATGCTACTCCGCAAACCGCCATCGCCAGAAAAAACAGCCCACCGAAATCCGCTCTTGGAGATTAATTGACCGTGGTGCTGGGAATCCCAAAATGCGAGCAAGCTTAAATTCGGAAGCTACTTTAGCGGGACCGGCCCAGATTCGACTGAAAACAAACAGCATCACGTCGATCAGTCTGGAAGACGAGATGCTATACGGTTTTGTCGTGGTAATTATGTGACACTTCAACCGCACCAACTGCACCTCGAGTCTAGGGGTCCTCGGCTTAATTATGAGGAATCTCTGACGTTCGAGAACAAGGAGATAGACGTGAAATACTACCAACTAGGCATGTTTTGATTCGGGAGGGTAACAGTGATTGATAAGACAACATTTTCCTCGAGGAAAGTCGTGAGTTCATAGAGGAGAGGTTATGTGACATTACCTTAGGTAAGTGGTTGTAACCCTATGATTAATGCTAGAAAAATATGTAGACGCCAACTATGCAAGGTATCCATACTCCGTTGATGCAAACTGATTCGTCGTATTTCGTCGGATTCGTGCGAATTGCGACGCAAACATTCGATCCCCTTGGCGTGTGTTTGAGTAACTCGCCCGTCATCATTATTAAATTGCTCAGCGTCGTGGATGAATAGCCACAAGCACCGAGGGTTGTTGGTGGTTTGCAGCAGCCAAACATCTGCCGTTAATCACGCTTTGAATGATCTGCTCCCTTCGCACAAACCCGTCGTCAACTTCGTAAGGCCCACCCACGTCGGGGAAAACTTGAGTCCTTCATCGTAGGCTGGGATTGTCCCTGGTGTGTTGACATCATCCCAACTGCAAATAATACGGCCGTCCATCCCGGTATTTGCATCTGAATCTGCCTCCCATCGAACAGTAACCTTCCAAGGTGTAGTCCAGTCACGACGATACAGTTTAATCCTGCTCAGACCTTCTTCTGGTACAGCCCCAAAGCGTTCATCAGGCGCAGTTCCATTAACGGTGAATGAGGATATAGGCTTCTTAAATGCAATCGCACACGACCTGCTGGCTTTCGCATTGATCTCAAATTCGGCCTTCGTATCACCATTAATGCGAGTGACATTGAAATCCAGCCAGCTTTTATAGCCCTTCTGTGGCGGAACTCCATCAGGCAGCGTCTTAACCACATTGGGAGGGACAGCAGAACCGTCGTAAGAGCAGGTTGTCAAACCAGAGCGTAAACTGTTATCGGAGCTGCAGTCAATCTCCTTGCCTACGGCAGATGGCAATTCGGCGACTGTCAACTCCACATATTCTCGTACACCGGCATAGTTGACTTTGGATATACCTGTATCAAGATCGACAGTTTGCTGGAAATAGATTTTATATCTGCTATCCTCGGTGAAGGGGAAGACTGCCAGGTTATAGACCAAGGTAGCAATAAATACTCCAAGTAGTACAAGTGGGACATGATGGGTAATTCGATGCATAAAAGGAGTGATTGGCAAAACCAGAAATATGCTGAAAAATGCAGTCATGAGGTATGGGACGAGAAGACTTGACCCATCAGCGCCTGTCTGAGAAACGGAAGTTACCAACGTCAGGCCGATCTGGCCAGTCATTATGATTATAAATGGCCCTAGAACTAGGAATTGGAGAATCCAAACCCAACTTGGAAGATTTGCTGACCACTGCTGTTCGTACTCGTAGGGCTCTCCATCGTTGTCCGGTGTTTGCGCTTTCTTTATGATTGCCGATATGGAACGTCGATACGTGGTGGCGAATGTAGTCCGCCGGCTAGATGAAGGGCCACCTCCAACAAGGGGAGTCGTTTCTGTCGGCGCAGACTGTGATTCAGCTTCGTCGTCGCCGTCATCTCCATTTTCATCGTCATTATCCTCAGCAGTAGCGCTAAGCTCATCGCGACTTGGAGAAACCAGAGCATCGGAATGCGGAATAGCACTGAGATGGTCTCTGATTTCGTGGTCATCATGGACTCGCTGCGCAAATGACGCCTTTGTCGGCAGTGCGAACAGCTCGCAAAGGCTGATGAAGGAAGCAATGAACGTCGCAGAGTGGAAGAACACGAATAGGTATCCTGCCGCAATCCTAAAGCGATCTTCAAAAACGGTGTCTGCGACTAGAATACCCCATGCTATGGTGAATAGCCAGAAGACAGTATAACCTCGATGGAGAGCGCTGGGTCGGGCAAAATTCGCACCAGCCATGATCGTCCAGAAGACAAAATAGAAAAGAGATATCATCATGGCCCACCTGTGGATTGTGGTTAGTATTTCATCTAATAGGACTATTTTTCAAGACTTACACGGTGTATTCATTGCTGTAGATGACCATTGGATTTATCTTGGTAAGCAGATACGCAGAACCTACAACGAGCGCCCCAGAAACGACCAAGGCAAAGGGGAACCGGAAGAGGCCTTTTCGACCACCCAAAGTGACAGGATCAAGGTCGGACCCTTCATAAGCAGACCGCCTCGCCGAGAAGAAGTAGTACTTGTCGTTACGTACTAGGACGTACGTTAGGCCAAGGAGGATCAGGGGAGTGGCAGTCAGCAGGGTAAGGGACCACGCGAACAGAGTGCGCAATTCGAAAAGAGCAAATCCTTTCCCAAAGATATCGAACCAAACGCCGTCGTTCCCTCTGCCATTCCAGACTTTCTTCCGGTCACCGTCTGAACGTTCCCCAATGAATGTACGGCCGGTATCACCAGAAAGCTCCTGCATCGTGTGCAGAGAACTGCTCAGCATGTGCCAGAGACTGGCTCTTGACGCGTGTTTGGCATCGTCCTGATTGGTATGATACCTGGCACGGGGCCGATAGAAAGCCATATCTAACCCTCTCATACCGAAGACCCCATTAAAGACTATATAATCGGTGTTGCTCCGTATAGCTCCAAGGCCGAAAGCGTCAGATGCGATAACAGTGCCGAAGGGGTTCTTGGTGCCCTTATACGCGTTCGTGACTTCGGCGTCAGTGGCACGGAATAACATGGCACGTCCACCAGCGCCAGCGCCTTCCAGGTTCAAGAATGTATGACAAAAGGGCAGAAACGGGTTGTTTATGAAGGCTTGGGCACCCCACAGTCCGTCTTCTTCGTTATTGTTCAAAAGGGCGACAATACCTCTCTGCGGTTGGTTTTCCGGTCTGGTAAAGTAGTCCACCAACGAGATCACGGTTGCGCAGCCCATTCCATCATCTGTAGCTCCATATCCAGAGGAAACGCTATACGGTTATTAGTTGACTTCGATTTATATCATGTCTGACAAAACCTACGAATCATAATGGGCATTCAATAATACACCTCCTTTGCCAATTACCTTATCCGAGTATACACTCCCGTCCTCCCACCACCGGCCACTCGGGTCATCTTTTCCTCGGATGTATACTACGACGTTTGTGCCCTCGAAGTACGTAGCAGCAGGGGTCGACGCGCCGAAAATGAGACTAGCGGTCGTAATGTTCGACGTACTATCCGCTAGCACAACTACGCTCGAGTCGTTTGCCCCATTGCGTCTCTTAATAGACTCCAGCTCCAGCAACAGCCAGTCGTGTATCTCATCGTTCTGTCGACTATTGAAGGGATGGTAATTGCGCGATAATGTAGTCAAGTCAAGCCAGGACTTGGTGAGGTTCAGACCGGAGTACAGAGTCGGATTGCTAGGAGGAGGCGGAACGGTTTCGTGGACGACGAGCAGCGGGATGAGGAGAGCTATGTAAGCAATAGTGGCCCAGAACGTCACGGCGAATGGCTTGAATGCTACAGGGTTCGACAATGCCATGATTGGCTAACGGTCGCAGGTTTCGGCGACCAAATTAC